GGCTCTCGCCGCGCTCCTCGTCCTCCTGCGGCCGCCGCTGCGCGCGGACGCCCTGGAAGGCGCGCCCGCGAGGGTGCCCGGCCGCATGCTGCTGCTGCTGCTGCGCCGGCGGCTGCTCCTCCTCCACCTCGGGGTGCTCCAGGTCGGCCTCCACCGACTCGTTGGCCTCGTCGGTCACCTCCACCTCCGCGCAGCCCTCCAGGTGGTTCATGGTGGGCGTCGGCGACCGCTGCGACAGAGGCTCAGCCGGCTGGCTCACTGCGCTGCGCTCATGGTGCTCCGCGGGGCTGGAAAAGCAAGCGGGGAGAGGGGCCGTTAGCGGTCACCGAGATGGGGACCGAGATGACCAGCAGAGCGGCTGCGGATCAATCCCTTCGGGATCTGGGTCCATGAAAACGTGATTGCGAAGCGAAGCTCCGGCGGACAGCGCCCTTCAGAGCATGCGCCATAATTTGTCATTACGTACCCACCGGCTTAATTGCATATTGGCCTGCCCCTGCCCCACTCATGCCCTTCAGCTTCCAATTCTGATGCTCGTGAATCAAGAGCATTACCAGCATGAATGGGCCAATTGACACATTTTTTCCATCTGCTAAAAGATGAATTGCTCCCATTTGAACTGGAACGCTAGCTAGCTAACTACGTCAGAAGCAATGCTTTACATACATACATTTCCAGTGGGGGAAATAAATCCCGAAATGTTTCGAAGCCATTGCTGTCACTACAAATACGCAGCCATGCGCGAGGACTGTCAGTCACATCACCAGGTCTTGACTTTGTACCCCACCAGCTCCAAGCAAACGGCTTAATTTTCCGGATCTCCGCAACCACACTGAACTCAACTGCAGGAAGTTAACGGATGTTATGCAAAAAAAGAAAAGAAAAAAAAAGCGCTCTACAATCAAACACGTTTAGGAACTATGGACTCAGTTGATTTTTCATTGTGACTATTCAAGGGTGATAGAAGATGCTGGGTCTCTCAAACTTGTTTAACCAGGAAACATCCCCATCCCCACCCCAGGCTGGCGTTCTGTGGAAAACTCTCAAGGAAACATTGCTTAGCTAATTTCCAATACTACCCTCATACACCTTGAAAAGCAAGGCTATTACTGTGAGGACTAAGGTGGAACTGACCCAAGTCAATGATGTTTTCAGTCACCTCAGGCATGTGAAAGTTGGACCTTGAGTAAGGAAGACTAAAGAAGAATTAATGCATTTAAAGTATGGTGTGGCCAGCCTGTGTGAGCACAAGGGACCGGGTATCAGATATCAAAGAACAAAA